AAAAATACAATTCTCACGACGTTTCGGTCACAACGCAAGCAGCCGTCCTCAGGTGAAGAAAGGTCTGTCGAGGGTCATTCAGACGTTGTGTCTTCCGACAGACCTGTTCTTCACCTGAGGACGGCTGCTTGCGTTGTGGCCGAAACGTCGTGAGAATTATTGTATTGTTTTATTATTTTATTATTGCCCTTCTACGTGACTTTACCGAAAGAACCAAGAAGAGGTGAAAACGAGAGTCACGCCGGGGGTGTCACGGCTTCGTCTCGCGGGGCAGGCAACTTGGAACTGTGAGGAGCGGTGGCGAAGTGGTTGGGTGCAACACACGGTATGGGGGGGGGGGGCACAAGAACGCCGCTGCTGCTGCCGCTGAGCAGTCGGAGGCAGTCGCCCTCCAGCAACAGCGGAGAGCGAGAGGAGCGACCCTCACAACAACGACTCGCAATTCACAAGTGGAAGAAGAAGAATCGAACTTTGACACAACGGGAATGAAGACTCAGACACCGGTTTCATTATTTCAAAACACTTAAAAGTTTTTTTTATTATTTTATAACATTTGTTTAAAACTACAAACGTCTCCAAAGTTTGTAAAACCAGTGCTAGCGCAATTTGCAAGCTCTAGGGAGGGGGAGGGAGGAGGGGGGGCAGGGCGGCTAGCCGGGCTATGGGGAATATAGAATACATGGAGGATGGGAGGGGGGGTCAGGAGGGGTGGGTTGGCTGGGTGGGTGGGAGGAGGAGGAGATGATGGGGAATCCGGCAGTAGGAGGTGGTGGGGGGGGGGGGGGGGTATGACAAGGCCAGGTAGTAGACGATACAGTTGATAATACAGAATTGTGGGCAAAATGGTTTTAATAAAATAAAAAAGCCCGCTTTAAGACAAATTGGAATTATTCAACACTTGTACACAAACAGCACTTAGCGAGCACCTATTTTTTTCGTATTTCCTTTCGTTTTTTTTATCGCATCGAGTTGTTGTCGTTTTCCTTAACCCCACCGCCGAAATGAACAAAGCTGCCATTGTGAACTCGTTCTCATGAAAAAAAAAATATCAACGCAACTTATTTTTTTCTCCCCATTATTAATTATATTTTACACCCGACACCCAATGCTTGAAATTTCAGGATCCCCCCCCCCCCGCCCTGAAATGCCTCAGGAATGTTTAGATGGACGGGCACCGAAATATTTTCACAAAACCTTCAGAATAAAAAAAAATATTCACCCAACAACAACAACCCTAAAAAAATGTCCAACGAGTGCATTTTAAACGTTGTGTGTGCTCACCACAAGGGACGTAAATTCGGCTGACCAAAAAAAAGTCTACAACAAAGCCACCCAAGTTTGGGTGGCGCGCGCAGTTTCCTTGTGGCCGAAAAGAAAAACACAACTCGCATGGACAGCTGCTTTCAACAAATCATATATATGTATAGATTTTTAAATGCACTTAAATAAGAAAACACACATGGGAATAAAGAAAGCCGACACGACAGCCCCCAAAGTTGGGGCCAACTTCAATTTGTGGAAAGTTCTACAAGGCTGGTGACATTACTGATATAACAAAACATTTCTCGAGAAACCTTTACCCCCCCCCCCACAAACGATGCTTGCTTATACCGTGAACTCTGCTGAGCCTTTGACATTCCATCTCATGGGACCATTGCACCGCGTTCGCCGGATTTGTGAAACGAGACAATGATCGTCAAGAGTCCGAGGCAGCAATGCACCACCTGGGTTTGACCTTCACCACCCCCCCAACCGCTCCTCTCCAATATTACAGCGTTACCATCGCAGTGAACTTCTGCAAAATTTCCACATCACACCACGCTCCAAACTCGTGGGCTAAACGATAAGTTAGATGTGGCTTTATAAAAAAAAAAATCTGCCTGCAATTTTTTTTTCAAGTTACCGAAAATCCATTTCTTTCCAATTGATTTTTGTGCGTTTAGTTTGTTGTCCTTCCCCCGGCACCTCCGGTTAGCACGGTTGGCTACGTACGGCGCGAAGGAAGTTCAACAAACGTACATGGATGTTACCAACAACACTCCCAAAATTTGACAAACGTAGACATCCCTAAATTGACACCAAGGCAGGCCACCCCAAATATTTTACCTGCTGGTCTGTGTCCCTACGCTACGCCTCTATCCCGAGTGACGTCTCTGCATCTGACTGTAGCCTGCCGATATTGGGTGCCATCAGCAGCGTTTGGTCGAAACGTTCCTCAAAAGTTACTCAGATCGGGGAAATTCATCGACCTGATCTGGCCCTTAAACCGATCTGGTATTCCAGTAAGCAAAATGTGCACGGGCATGCCTGTTATCATTTATACTGTGGTCCTATTTGTCCTGTTTCCAATAAGGGTTAAAGGTCAGGCATTAGTTTAACCGATCATTAACAGCTGTATTGACATCCTCGAAGTACACGAAAGGTTGATAAATCAAATGAGGCCCTGCGTATCACTACATCTGTTGAAAGACCAAGCGCACACCTGACATGGCGACGTATCTTATACACCTTGCTCGCACACACGTTCACGTGGCTGTGTTCAGCAGACTCGTATATTTTTTGTTGGAAGTCGAGAGAAGCGTTCGACCTTAAAGGTTGTCAAAATGTTGCCCGCAATATGGAGTCACAGTTCACCGCAACGGCTTCTCAACCACAACGATTGTTGCCCGAAGTAATTCGAAGGGGGTTTTACGAGTTCTGCGTCGTGGTGGTGGTGGAGGGGCTACATTAGCTCAAGCCGAACTCACGCCTCACTCCGATTTAGACCATAGACTCCCCTTTACGTGAACTCTGCACATAGTTCATAGCTGCCCACCCCTCTATGCCTGTCATCTACAACTGTAGGAAAGCAGTAATCTTAAGAGGTCTGCTGGTTGTGTGTGAACCTCCACTGACCAACATTAATACTTGACCACGGATAAATCTTAACCACAGGTGTACACAGCGAACAAGCCAATTTAAACTGCGGATTTTGCCTTTTCACGCCGTTTGACTTCAAGGTTGGAAATATCAACGCTCCCCCCCCTCCCCACCCTCAAAAAAAGCACTTTAACGTTCTCTTTAAATGTCTATATCGGAGGGAAGAAATAGCTACTGAATATTGACACTGACAATAAATTAAGAACAAACCATGCACACTTCTTAAGTACCACTTCCATAATTTTGCGTGGTCTAGTGCAATGTAATTAATGCTACAGACGCATTCCTCAAGAAGGTAGGTATAGCCCGGACATTCAGGATGTTCTACTGCCAGCCTCGTTCTAGAACAGGGTGGTGGTGTGGGGGGGGCGGGTGGTTGTTTGTGGCCTTTCGTCAAAATGGATTTAATGGAAGAGGTCCGAATGAACGGTGTAATTTGCGCAGACTTTTTATTCACAAACGTTTAACTCAACAAAGCAGAAAAAAATGCTATTCTTGGCAGGTTCACAGCGGTTAAAACTGCTGATGGGGGAGGTGGGGGGTGGGTAGGAGGGCACACATGTCTCATTCACTTTTTTTTCGCCGCTATTTTAAATGGGAAATGGGGTGGGGGGGGGTAGCAAATTAAGTTATACATTTGAAGGATTCTTTTGGGGCGCCGCAAGTACACAGCGGAAGCGCACGCAGACAATTTTAAACGAGGACATTTGAAGTAAAAAAAGAGAGAGGAAAAAAAAACATGAGTATGGAACATTTTTCACACTGGCACAGAAATACAAATATAATACAAAGAAGAAATTCCTGTATAAAATGTATGTATTAAACCAATTTTTACATACAAAAATTAACCTCCTATACAAGTAGATATTTGTACTAAACATCAGGTTTGCGTTTGGGATTAAAAACTTTCACTGGTTGATGCGCTGACGATCAACCAGCTGCTTAACGGGAGTGAGGGAGAAGGGGGGCGACAGAAAAATCCAAATTTTGAGAAACGCTCCGTTACCGGACAAACATTACAATCAGGTTGTGAGTATACGGTACATACATAGCCACAACTGGTCACATTTTTCTCTTTTTTTGTTTAAACAAATGTTACATCCGTACCGTGAAAAACGGAGAAATAAAATTGCATTAAATAATTACCATTTAAACGTTTATTTTTTTATTATTCATGAACTTTATTGTTGTAAAAAAAAAAGTTATAATTCAAAAAAGAAACGCCGAGCCATTTGTGTAAATTCTCAGCCAATTCACTTTGCGTTCATGCACACAAAATGAAGACCTTTCGGCTGACCACTGGTGTTTAAGAGTATAAACTACCCCTTTTAAATGGGTAGTGCACAATGCACACTATTCACATATGTACATCAATATCAACCGACACAAACAATAAAACCCCCAAAAAACGAAAGCTAAACCATTCTCACGTGTTTCAGTTACATGACAATCGAATTTTTTTTTCTTCTCTATTTTACTTACATTTAACTTTTTTTTTGTAAATGTTTTTTTTTCTTTCACAAAGGAATTTCATTTATTGTAAAAGGAGGTTATAATCCCACAGGTCCTTGCTCTCATACAAGCATCTTTTTACTTGACCTGTCCCTGGACTAAAGTGTAAAAAATATTTAGCAATAACACATTTACAAATGACCATTTTTTTTACAGTACAACTCAAGAGATTGGATATATGCATACATATCTATCTTTTGAACGTTATTATTTTTAAGCGTGGGTCTAATGCAGAAAGCTGTCACGAGAGTCCGAGAGCTCTGGTCCAAAAGTGTTTAAGCGTGAAGAGTGGTCCATATTTGTTTACACTATACAGCGTTCTTTTTTTCTTGCTGAAACATCAGGTTATAGTTTATGCTGGTGTGAAGACAAAATGTCACAGAAAACCAAACTCACTCGGGGAAAAAAATACTCTTTCCCCTCTACCGCTCCCCATCTCTAATCGATGCTTCTTGCTCTAACAGTCTTGGAGTTGCGTGAACTTAAAATAAAAACACAACTGCGAAAAACAAATGAACAAAAACGCATACTTTCGAACTCGTGAATTCGCTGGGTATTCGTGTTTCATATTTTCTCCTTTTAACCCCCCCCCCCCCATCATATCTTCTTCGCGACTTTAAAAGAACTTCATTTCGCAAGGCATTGTTTCCCCGCACGGCAGGTCTGTGGTCGCCTGGCTTTTTCTCCATGCCCACCTCCCGACTGCTCCAATCGCTGCCCCCACCCCGGTCCCCGCACCCCCCCCCCCGCCCGCTATGGGCCCCCCTGCGCTGAATTTCAGTACAGAAGTTCAAGTTCTTTGTTGTTGCGTAAATCTCGCCAAATCGATGGACAGCGCCGTGTGTCGTTTGCTGCGGACGGCGGAAGATGACCACCTCAGAGCACGCGCTCTGAGCGCACGGCCTTATTGCCGCGCCTTGATCGTCTTCACCAGTATATGGGATGCCAAGCTCCCACACACACACACACGTGCGCATGTGTGTTTTCCAACTTTAAACAGCGACTTCATTACCGGCAGTTGTGTCATCGTTTTAAGTCAGCGGGGAGGAACAGGGGTGGGGTGGGGTGGGGAAAAAATAAAACCACAAGTTAATTTTATAGGGCACCAAAGTAAGGATATTACCAGTCCACGTTTCACCGGAGCGGTGATCCATAAGCTTGTGGCGATTGATGCTCACACAAGCGTTCTTTCTCGGTGTTAATTCGCTTTTTTAAACCCTTCAAATTCGAGATACACTCTCTCCAGTGTGAATCTCACCCCCCCCACCCTCCCTAATCGATGAATCTGTACTCGCCTTTCTCACTTAATTTGTAAAATTCTATTTTGAAAATATCCAAAGGGTATTTCATGAAATTTTTTTTTTAAGTTAAGCCAATTAAAAATGCTTTGGTAAGAATTGGTTATCATTCAATATTGTGGTGCACAGTGAGAAAAAAACGCTTTTGCAACCGAGCCTGTCCAAAGATGCACTTTCCAATTGAGCTCTTTATAAATACTCACATAATGAACAACACTTTACCACAACCCGAACAAAAAGCTATTCACACTTTGAAGTAAGCAAAATGCAGTAACGTTCAGGGCGCTACAACGGTGCTCAACGAGCACAAACGACAGCATCCAGACATTCCGTCGACGGGGTGGGAGGGGGGCTTTAACTCTCTCCCCATGCTTCCCAACGTTTGTTCTCAAACACGAACCCAAAATCAAACTCGGCAATGTTTTTCCAATACTAATGGAGCAGTAGGTGGCCAGCTCAATTTGCCTTAGGACATCCTGCTGCTGTGGGTGGGGGGGGGTGGCGGCAGCGTAGAGACGGGTGAAGGCCATGGATTTTTAACGGCTAAGAAATAGCAGGGGGCAGTCGGGGAGTGGAGGAGGGGGGGCAGGAAGAAAGTAGTGAAGAAGAATGAGATCCGGCTCAAATGTCCGGAGCCTCAGAGACGGCGGCAACAGCTCAGTAAGCGTGCAAGTGGCCGCCGATTTCATTCTCCGTTCTAGGCTGCGTCGCTGGCTCCTCGCTGGACGCAGTGGGACATTGTACGCGACGTGACGGGAAGCGCTGTGGGGGAGCGCTGTTGGGAGCGCTGTGGTCAAACTTCCCGCCTCCCACCCACACCGTTGCGACCAAAGAAAAAGAAAACATAACGCGCGGAGGAGTCTTGAACCGAAACGTCTTGTGCAAAGTTTGCAACATGTTTACAGTTAGCACCGGGACTGTTTGCGACTTTGCACGCGCACGCACGCACGCACAAGGGATACAAATATATCGCACGTTTTGCCAAGTCCTCTTTCTGAGATATGAAAAAAACGTTACGATGAAACTCTAGCAAGCACGCCACGGCGCCTGCGAATACCCAATAAACGTGTTACAGCTCTCAAGTCGCGGCGCGTGGTTCCAAGTTGCCGAGCGTTCGAGTTTGTTAGCGCGTGCGGCAACGCACCGGCTACCGTAAACTCTACCGCAAAAGCAAGTGGGCACACACAAAATAAAAAATAAAGCATCTACGTTTATTTTTTTTTGCAAAGGTATTTTGCATCAAGTTTTACCGTTTGAATGACCGCTTGCCTTCAGTTGGAAACGTTCATTCTGTAATTTAATGCAGGTGCCTTTTTAATTTACACAATAAATTCAACAAAGTAGCCAACAATAATTTACAATATTTTCTCTTGTAAAAACTGATGAAAACAAAAGTTGACAGTTGACTGAACTTAAAGAAGCTGTAACTTTGTATCAAATTAATTGACCGAGAGACGTTACCAATCCTCAACATTTCAACCATTCTAAAATAAACTCAAAGGTCCTAACCAATGCGGGTTCAAATGTATTGTAATGTCTTGGTTTAAAAGTAGGGAAAAGGCATCTACCCTTTGTATATTAAAATATTTAATGCCATTTTATCGAATAAATTTACCCTTATATTATAGTAAACAACCACTGTTTCTGTTTTATTTTAAAAAGCCTTACTTTCTGAAAAAAAAAGTATTCCCAGTGTGTGCGTCTCTCTCTCTCTCTATAGAATCCTAAAGTGGAATATATCTCCTCGGGAAAAAGCACAAATCTAAACTATCTAAGGACCAATATTTTAAAATGACTGCCACCGCTGCTACTGGTCTTGTTTAAAACCTATTTCGCGTCCCACTCCCCACCACACAAGACGAAGATATTTCACACAGAATTGAGGAAACGTAGGGAGGACGAGCGATTCTCCAGGTAACGTCCAAGATTTTCAAAAAATAGATACTTTTTTCTTCTTTGCAGAGGCCGGATGAGACGTTGGAGCAGCTGGGAAGAAGGGCAGCAGTGGGAGGGGGGGGTGGGTGGGGAGGGATGAGGTGGTGGGAGAGTTCGGGGCGGTGGTGGGGAGGTGCGCAATGGGGACACTTTCTCAACTTCACGCCGGGGTGGTGTCGTGTCTCTCTCTCACGTGCGCGCCAGGAACATTTTTGTGAGTTCACTTCCTTTCCGGGAGAGTTCACCCCCCACCCCCCACACCACCACCACCACCACCACCACCCCCGCCGCCGTGATTGTCCGCTGCAGTTACAGAGATGCGCACGTACGCGAGCGCGCACGTACCGAACCGCCCCCGTCCGAGGGCGCTAGAGTCTCTGGTCGTCGTCCGCGGGAAAGCGTGCGTGCCGTCTCTGCGGCGACGGCGGGTGCTGAGCGAGTTCGTACAGACACTTGGCGAGCGTGCTGGAGCCCTCCATGCCGCTCAGCGCCATCGTGGAGAGGTGAGCCTCGTGCCGACGCACCAGCCTGCGGTCAGGGACATGGCCGGCGCGCGTTAGAACGCAGAGACGGGGGCGTTTAGGCTGATGCGTTACCCTAGGCCGCGAAAGCTGTGGCTCGTGAACGACTCTCAAAAACACTTGGGGGTTTCTCTACAGCACCAGTGGCTGTTAGGGGTTCACATTACCCATCACAAAGCAAGAGAAAACATTACAAATTTGAGGGTCCCCCCCACGAAAGAGAAATCGTTTATGTGTCCTCAGCCACTACGTACAAAATATATATTGCAATTACTTAAATGGCCAGTAACATAATTTTATATAGCTGCAGGACGTGTGATAATATATTACCGTGCTATACTATAGAGCAGTGGTTCTTAATCTTACCTGCAGCCCGCACCCGTTAATGTTCTCAGAAATGGCATCTCGCACCCCCAGGTAAAGAACCATTGCTATCGAGGTACCATCTACAATGTAACACGTTGCAATTCCAGACACTCGCCCATGATGGCTTCGGCCAGACCTGGGTGACCCATCACTACCAACACCCGCACTGACCAACGCAACGTGGGGGGAGGTCTTTATCCAGCAATATATTGACAAAGGACTGCATACATATACATAATATATCCGTATAAAATCACTCTTATCCAGATTTTTTGAACGGAGACAAATATACAAATTTAATCCATAATACAGGTTTTTTTTGGGTTAGATCGCGTAAATATATAAATGTGTCGTTAAACCCGCCACAGCCAATTAGTGAGGTTTGTCACGTAAACAGAACGTGCCAATTCGTTACTAGTACAGCACTAGTGTGTAGTATAGTGTATAGTAGTGTAGTGTGTAGTGTAGTATAGTATACTAGTACAACACACCGGTGCGTTGGAGAGCAAAGCCACAACATTTACAATCTGAGCACGACATTTCGCCAGTAACTACAACCAGCTTCATCTCCGTGCAAAAAAGGAAATGGTATCCATATTCTTGGTTCTTTCGGTAAAGTCACGTAGAATGGAAATAATAAATTAAGCATAAGAAAAAATAGATATGTTATTATTTTATTATAACAAAAAGTATTTTTATTTTATTATTTCCATAATAAAAAATATTGTATTATTATTTTATTATTTCCATTCTACGTGACTTTACCGAAAGAACCAAGAAGATGAATCCCTGCAGTCACGAAAGCTTTAAATCGAGAAATGGTATCCGTGTACTCAAACGTGCAGGTGCATACCTTCTCCCGGACTCCGAGTGCCTGGCAATATTGCGGAGCACGAGGCAAGCCGTTATCCTGATACTCTTTGTGATGGGTCCTTCCTTGTCGTCCTGGATAGCACACCAGACGAGAAACAACGTAGCGTACGATTGAACCAATGGCTGATGGCCGGGCACCACAGTAGCCGACACATCCCAAGAAGCGGTCGAGTGTGCGATGACCTTTTCAATAAAAAAATATATATTTTTTTTGAAAGTCACTGCCAACGTCCACAGCTTGGTGTGGACGCCAACAACGACAAAAAAACACCGCTTGGGCTAGACCGATTTGAAGCGCAATGCACTCCACGCACGCCCGTTTCTCGTGCAACGCCTTCAATTACCCCGCCCTGAGCCCTCTTGAGTCACTGCCAGGTCAGCTCGTGCACTCCTGTGCGGTCACAGGAGATACGGTGCATCACCCCGATTGGCTTCTGATATCACTGGCCAATGTTTCAAGCACTACTGCTGAGAAAAGCCTCGTGACGAGCTGCAAATAACCTGCAAATGCTTCTTAACACATTTGTCCCACACCCGACGCTCTCATACACATTACGTGCAGAATCTCACACATTAACAAAGCTTCAAATTTATTTTCGACAGCATGGGACACACAAACTGTGTGTGGTACCAAAAAGATGATGTTAACTACCTCGCCTGGTATACTGGAAGTCGTGGGTTCGATCCCGACCCTGACGCCTGTATATTTGGAGTTTGCATGTTCTCCCCAGAGTCGCGTGGATTTTTCTCCAGGTCCTCCAGTTTTTCCCTTATTTAGAATCTAAGCTAAACTATTTTTAAATCCTTTATATTATGTCCGCTTGCTTGCTTACGACCGTGCAAACCTTTCGGTCGTTTTTTAACCCACTTCCCGTGATCCAATCGAGCTGACATTTTGCACACAGACTCGTTGTGCGAGACAATTAATGTTCGTGAAAATTTTTTTCCAAAATTTTACACTGTTTAGGGAAAACAAATTAAATATTTAATTACCAATTGTTTAATACTGCAGACAATCATCTGACCCATAGGTGGCAGCCATCTCAAGCCAGATGACGAGAGGACTCTAGCCGCCACGCATATAAAGGATTTAGAGTGAAAAACTTTGTTTTTACGGGTTATACTTATTATTTTACCAGGTAAGACCCACTGAACTATACAGCTCTTCTTCAGAAGCGACCTGTCCAAAAATAATAGCTGAACGAAGTGGCTTATCACGTGGAAATTGATCGCAGCCAAATATTCTAAACGGGCGTCGATTCTAAATGTAGAAGGAAAAACCAGAGGATCCGGAGAAAAATCCACGCGACCACGGGGAGAACATGCAAACGCCGAATATACAACAGGCGTCAGGGTTTGAAAAGAACCCACGACCTCCTGTCTACCAGGCCGAGTTAGCTTCGGTTTAGTTAACATGTCAAAATCTCGATTTAAAGCTTTCGTGACTGCAGGGATTCATAACAATTATATTATATTATTTGAGTATATTATTACGTTGAATTTTTATTATTTTATTATTTCCCTTCTACGTGACTTTACCGAAAGAACCAAGAAGATGTTAAAATCGGCGGGTGAACGAACGGGGGACCGGGCCCCCGGAGTAGCGTCGCCCGTGCACGAGCGGTTTACCGTGAAGTCGCGGAAGGTGAGCGAGCGGGAACCCCGGCGCAGAGCGAGCATGGCGGCACCCGGGTGTCCCGCCAGGGTTTTCACCGGGCGGCCGTGCGCGGCAAACCCCGGGGGAGTGCCAGCCAGCGGCGGCGCTGCCAGCGGTCGTGCCGACGCTCCCATCGATGCTGCCGCAGGGTTTGAGGGAGCGTGGCTGCGGGGGCGAAAACGGGGGCAGACAAGGGAGTGTTTGAGAGACACGATTTGGCCGAGAGGCGGTGCACAGGTGGACGACGGAGATGAACAGGGAAGGGGGGGGGGGAGGGAGATGGGAGCGGAGGGAGGGAGGGAGGGAGAGAGGGAGGGAGAGATGGGAGCGGAAGGAGGGAGGGAGAGAGGGAGGGAGAGATGGGAGCGGAGGTGGGGAGCGGAGGGAGGGAGGGATGGGAGGGGAAGGAGGGAGATGGAGGGTGCAAGGGTATGTGGGAAGAAGAGAGATTTCAGTATCGAAGGAGAAGATACAATGGGGAAGGATGGGAAGCAGGAAGGCAAAAAAAAATGATAGTGAAGGAGAGAGTGAATATGAATGAGAGATAGAATGGGGAAAATGTATGTAAGTAGAGAGATCAAGGCATGGGATGGAGTGACATGTGCCTGTTCAAAAATAACACTTTTGTTAATATTGCAACATATTAGGGTGGATATTTGACGTTGCCCATCTGGCAAGAGCTGGAATAGAAGAAATGTCAAATACTCGGTTGGGGTTCATTGTGGAATGACTATTCAAGTTTGTTGTTTGCCAGAAAATTGGCCCTGGAAACTGGAAGTAATTTTCAACATATTTAGTTTAACATCCCCTTTGATCTACCCCCGCGACACGTGTTACGTGCGCTAGCGTACACGACAACGGGAAGCCTCCACTGTTCCTCATGGCAGTGCCAGTGTACGCAGGTGATTGTTGGTCACTGTTGGCGAGCTCACCTGGAAGGCTGCTGCTGCTGCTTTTCGGACTGTATTTTTTCTTCCAGTTTTTTAAGCCCTGCCTGCAAGGCTTCTTTCGTACAGTGCTTATCCTGGAAACAAACGAAAACACAAACCGTCGCTGTTAACGCTAAGCGTATAAGCCTTTAAAACCAACGTGCACGCCGTTTGTTAACACACGTTTAACATCAAAGATCCAATCGCGTTGCTTTAAACGGCAGGCCAAGGGTCTGGCACCAATTATAATTACACCGAGTAATAAACATTGATCGATCAACCTAACATCTTGGCATTAACATACTGTATTGTAAATCAACATTATTAAACTGGGTGGGTAAAGGTGCAATGCTTGAAAGGGCTCGGGCTACTACAATATTTATAATGCAAAGCATTGCTTTGCTTAATATTGGTTTATTTGAGCTAATATTGTTTTGTATTGATGCCCTTTCATCATGTGAGAACGCATTCACAACAAATTTTCTGGCTGACATAACGGCAAACATTTGATTATACGTAGACAGATATTTTCACTTTGGCTGCCTCTAATTTCGAGTTACCTTCAATTTATAACGTGAAGATTATGGCTAACTCACTGTGAATCTAGATGTCGGTGTATTTATGTGCACAGTAAAGGTCTGTGATTTGGTAATTCCCAATTAAACTATTACTGGGTTTCAAGAAAAATTTAAACATTGAGAGCAATAAATGTGATGCTGTGTGTAGCCAATTTTTGCAAATAACTATGCACCCCAAGAAACCAAGTTATTTCCTTGTGGAAATGCACATTTGAGTCAAGAATCGACAAAGATCCCCCCCCCCGTATAGCCTTAACAGACTGTTGGGGCAAGTGCTGCTAATGTGCACCCACGAGGGGGGGTGGGTGGGTGGCCAACACCACGCCCGGTCTCCTTGGTCTGCCACGTGGCAATGTTTACACACCGCACCAGCAGGTACTCATATGAGGCCTAGTGAACCGAGGAGAGATTATTGCCATTGGTGTTGGTGACCGCTACACTACTGCTAAACTCCTACGCCACCTAATTACAAATCTCATTACACACATACACACGTATGTGCAAGCGCAATGTGCGTGAAACGCTTCTGTGCTGACACAAGCACGTCGGTGTGTGTGCGCGCCGACCTGGAGGTGAGTGATGAACGACAAACGCTGGCGATCATGGGCCTCGCACGCCTCCCAGAGACAGCGGCCAGGGTACACGCCCGCCCGGCCATGTTCGCTCACCGCGTGCCGGAACACGTGGCCGTTCGTCTCGAACCACCTGGGAGAACGCAAAACCACGTTCACACGCGTCTCGAGCGTAACAACAACGAAAATAATTTTACATTTATAAGTCGCAATTTCACCTGGGGATCTCAGGTTGGGCCACCATGGGACACGTGGACCGCGCGTGTATAAACACACAAGACAAAGGTCTCCCGTGTAGCCTTTAACAGATTATTAGGGCAAGTGCTGTTAGGAGTGAGTAGCAGCGCCTATGAAGGCCGGCACGGCACACGAGGGGGTAGGTGGCCAGCAACCATGCCCATGCAGCCCACACCTTTGGGCATGGTTACAGGTGGTTGTAGAAGTATCTAAAACATGCGGGCAGTATGTATGTTAAACTTCTTTCGCACCGGAGTTGTGGGAGTTTGCGAATTCTCTCGCTCGCTCACTGGCGTACAGACACACACGCGATCTCATCACTCCATCTCCATGTTGGTCATTCTCTCAGGTGTCTTTCCTCCTTTGGCTACCAATTCACCACCAATTTTGTCTATCTGCAATTATCCCTTCCAGCGGTGTCCTGCCCAAGCCCGCTTGCTTTGCTTGACATTCGATGTACTGGTGTTTGATTTGCATTTTGTTCTCTGAGCCGTGTGCAAGTCCACGTGTAAAGAAGCAACAAAGTAGAAACGAGAAGAGGAGTCGGGCAGGGAGAAACGCTCTCACCAAGTCTACCCTTAGCAACGCGAGCACATTTTCCCAAAAAAATAATCAAAGAAATGAAGGCATCAGACGACAAATAGTTAAACTTAAAACATAGGTTTGAGTGAAAGTGGAAGAGAAGTAAAAGCTCTCATATCCAGATCCCAGAAAGCCACAATTTTGGGTCAGCCAGGAGGCTTCCCAAAACAATTTGGTAATAAAAATTAGAATAAATTACTGTGTGAGTACGGTCCACATGGCTGAAATGTCAAACAAAGTGAGTCCACTCACTGTATATAGATCAGGATATGAACATTGCTTAACAAATGCAAGTCGATATCGGTCAAATTCATTATACCGACTTGTGTATACATGTCGTGCATTTGCACTCTCCATAAACCCATGGGACTTGCACTGAAAACGAGAGGACACGTGGAAACTCTCCAACACGCAACAGGCCAAACATTTTCCTTGCTCTAACGTGACATACTAAAGGTTGGAGGCGCGCCAACGTACCGTCTGCACCCCTTCCACAGGCACATGAAGTGCTGGTTGGGCTTGCGTGTCAGCTCAAGGGACGGTGGTGGTGGCGGTGGTGGTGTCGGGGTTGCCGGGACCGCAGCGGAGGGTATCTGCATCACTTGCTGTGTTGCCTGCTGCTGCTGTTGCACCATTTCAGCCGGGGCGCACGCCACAGTCCTGGTTAGCGACTCGCCGGCCGACACTATCCGCACGCCGACCTTGTTAGGCACGGCCGTGGCAAGCAGGGCGTCCGAGCCATCGTGCGGCCTCTTGAGTGGCGGTCGCTTACAGTCACCGTCCTTCGGCGCTACCGGGTGCACCGCCGCCGACGCCGCTGTCTGTCCATCATGAGACACCGTCATGGTCAACATGGGAGTGGGCGAGGGGTTCGTCGTCGGCGCAGGCGTTGCCGTCGTCGTGAGGGGGGCGGCCGGACACTGCTCGGACCTGGCGCTGCCATGCGGCGCCTGGGGCTTCGGCGAGCAGCCGGGTGCCGTGCCGTTGTGCGACAAGGCGGGGGGCAGCGTCGGGGACGGCGCGTCGCAGCCGGAACGCAGCGCGGACGTGGGTCCGTTCGTCGAGGGCAGACACTGCGGTTTCGAGTCCCTCTCGTCCGACAGCTCACCGTTGCCCATGTGGTTCTGCACCGGCGTGGCCTTGTGATTGTGGATGCTGTTGGGTATGTAAGTCTCCTCCCCCTTGGTCATGTCGGAGTCGCCGTTCACCAGCGGGCGCTGCTGCTGCTTCAAGAGTTCGCTTTTGAGATCCTGAGTGCTGTCCAGGATGCCTGTGGAATTGAGGTTGACTGGGTTGATCTGCTGCTGCTGCTGTTCGCACGTCATGTTGCCTGGGCACGGCGGGCTGAGAGGTAGTTCCACTTTGTTATTCCTGCCGTTGGGAAGGGCTGAGAAATTCGTAGCAGACGCCTCGCCGTTAGCTGCCGGCCGGCTCGGGCTGTCAGGCGGCCGAGTGGGGCTGTTCTTGGAATCGTCGCACCCCATTGGTGTGCCGAGCGCTTCCGCCTTGAGTTCTGGCGCTACCGCCCCTGCGGGCGGTGGTAGCGACAGGACGCCGTCAGCTGCCAGGTTGGTCTGGTTTTGCCAGAGCGAGCTGCCCCCGCCGGTGAGCGGCGAGCTGATGTTGTTCAACGCGGGCATCCCATGGTTGTGCGTTGCCGGAGTCGCACTGATCACGGACGAATTTCCAGCGCTGCTCGCTGCAAAGCCTGTGCTTGGCATCATGGTGATGGCTACTTGGCTTGCCCCACTGCTGATGATAGGGCCCGGCACCAACTGCATGTGGGAGATGGGAAGCGTCTGTATGCCGCTCTGCGACGTGTGATGTATTACCTGGAATGAACTCTGGCCAACCAAGAACGGATGAGCCTGCGCTCCTGGTAGATGCGATGCCGGTTGTCCCATCACAATCTGCTGCGTGGGGAGCCCGTGATTCGTCGTTGGACCCACCAGAAGCTGCTGTTGTTGCTGCTGCTGCTGCTGCTGCTGCTGCTGCGGTGTACCCGGTAATGTGGGCTGCCCGCTGCCAACAACCTGCGGTTGTCCACTCATCACGATCTGCTGTCCGCTTGTTGCTGGCCCGACTACGATCTGAGGTGCGTGTGGGCATGTTGCCTGCCCAACTATTATCTGCTGCCCACCTGCTTGGCCCACCACCAAGTGCTGCCCTGATGCTGGCCCTGCCTGCCCGACCACAAACTGCTGCAGTTGTCCACCCTGCGCCGTGACAAGGCCACCCGCGCCCGGTCCAGACGTCACCTGGTAGACCACCTGTGGGCTTGCTGGCCTCGGCAAGGTTTGCGACGTCTGCGGGACCGTCAGGATCATCTTGCCGGTGGGCGTCACGGCATTTCTCCGCGGCAAGAGCAGCTGCTTCACCAACGGCGACGTGGAGTCCTGCATCGGGGTCGCCTGCTGCTGGGCTGCTGCTCCGCTGACCGCCGGCTGAATTGGCTGCTGCTGCTGCTGTTGCTGGTGCTGACAGCGTATCGTGAGCATCTGATTTAGCGTGGGGACACCGGAAGGTATTCCGACCACCTGCGGGGCCACGCAAGCGGACATCTGCGGCTGTACTCCCGCCATGCTGCTAATGCCGCCACCGCCGCCGTGCGGAGTTGGGGCGAGTTGCCGCTGGTGTGGCTGCCCGGCGAGCACTATCTGATGCACGGCTGGGACGTGCTGGGGGCCGCCGGGTGCCACGCACGTGCCGCCCTGCTGCCCGACGATAACGTGCACCTGCTGCGGGCTCTGCAGGCTGGGTGCGGGCGTGGGAGTGCCGCTGGCCGGCTTCGGCGCGATGTTTTGGAAGGTGTGTCTCGTTGGACTCTGGATGACCGTGGGTGCCGACGCAAGCGCATGGTGCTGTTGCTGGTGGGGTGCGGCGCCGAGCATCGCAGGCTCCTGTTGCGAAGTCGCGGCCGCAGGGCCGACCGCTGCCGCTACGGCGCTGCCCCCTTGCGTCGGCAGGGCCTGGTGAAGGAAGGCGACATGGCCCGCGGAGCTCGTCACGTGATGAACCTGACCTTGATAAAGAGCCAAATGCTGCTGCTGCTGCTGCTGGTTGAGCGGCTGCTGCTGCTGATGCTGCGAGACGACTTGGAACCGCGCAACAGAGTTCTGCACGGAGACGTCCATCGTTTGCGGCACCTGAACGTGGTTAGCCACGCCGCCGCTCGGCTGCGCTGCCGACTGTATCACCGGGATGTGGCACGCGGTGATGGCGGACGGCGGCTGGGTTATCTGCAGCATCGGCTGGCCGACGGGAATGCCGCCGGCACCGCACCCGCCACCGCCGACGACAACCGGGCTGCCAGCCGGAGCGGCGCCAGGCTGGACCTGCGTCGTCACCAACGCGCCAGCCGGCTGCACGCCCGGCGTCGTCACCACCATCGTCGCCGGCGAGGCGGAGCTGTTCAGCACGGGGAAGCCCGACGATTGCGTCACGTGCATGAACTGCGTCGACGAGACCACGGCGTACGTGGTCTGCACGGTGCCTTGGCTCGTTATAACCTGCCCCGCCTGTGAGAAGTGGAGCACGCCCGGCTGCTGCTGCTGCTGCTGCTGCTGCCCCGGTTGAGCGTTGGCATGGACGACGACGCCGCCTTGCTGCGCGGTGCCAGTGATCGTCGAAGACACCGGCAGCCTCGCTTGCGTCATGATGACACCCATGCCCGGCTTGCTGGCAGCAGAGCAGGACGACACCACGACCGTTTGGTAGGCTGGGAACGAGTGAGACATCGCAGGCTGGCCGGTCGTTCTGCCAGCGGTAGGCTGGTAGGGCGGCGGCGGTGGCAGCAGGGGCAGGGGCGGCGGTGGGATGGTGGACGTGGTGTAGATGACTGGCGGGCACGGCGACTGGTGGGTGGGCAGCATCTGGGGCGGTCTCTGCAGCGTCACCATTGGGCCCTGGAGACCGATACCTGTGGGATGGGAAAGAATTGACATTGTTTAACTAGGATTACACCACTAAGGCTAATATCCTTGGGCCAAAAACTTTTTGAACTCAACTATTTTTATTTTACCAGGTAAGGCCCACTGAGCAATGCAGCTCTTTTTCACAAGTGACCTGGCCACAAATGATAATTCATCAAAGTGGCTCATAACGTGGAAATTGAAAGCAGCCAAAATACTCTAAACGCGCGTTTATTCTAAATGTGGAGAGAAAAACCGGAGGACCCGGAGAAAAATCAACGTGACCACGGGGAGAGAGGCACGCAAACTCCAAAGATACTATAGCAGGCGTCAGGGTCAGGACCAAACCCTCTGACCTCCTGTACACCAGGCGAGGCAGTTAACATCTCTCAACTTAAATTTCGATTTAAAGCTTCCGTGACTGCAGGGATTCATCTTCTTGGTTCTTTCGGTAAAGTCACGTAGAAGGGAAGTAATAAAATAACAAAAATAGTATATTATTATTTTATTATGTGAGAATTAATGTTTTATTTGTATTATTTCATTACTTCCCTTCTACGTGACTTTACCGAAAGAACCAAGAAGATTTCTCAACTTGCAGCGTACGCAAGCCTCCGAGCGTATAGGCGGCGTTTGTGTTTGGGCAGGACCGGGACAGACCGGGTGACGGTGCGGTGCCGCCAGGAGCGGATCCTGGGCAGGGCAGGGCTGCGTGCGTTGCCGTGGTCTCGCCAGAGTTGAGGCCGCCTGCGCGATTCGGCGTCCCCGGGCGGTGCGGGACGAACGCCGCGTGGGCGGGCAGCGGCGACGGGCGCCGTCGCACCCCGACGATGTGGTACTGCACGTGGCCCGGGTTGAGGGGGTCTTCGATTCGCTTGTAGCTCAAGCCCGGAAAGATTGTCCTGCAGACGAGGAAAGCATGTTGTTTCAGTACTCGACGGTGAAGTTTTCATGACAAATGTGGAACGGACGTTGCAAACGCAATTTAATGGTAGGTTGTGTGTGGCAACTATAGCAGTTTCATTTACAAAAAACTGGGACAAAAGCACAAGGCACGTTTATTCATCTACCATTACTTTTGTTCAAACATCAGTAATAATGGTAATGTACAAAAACAATTCGAGACAACTTCCGATAATCTATGAGTGGACTAATTACCCCACTAAAGAGGGGTCACCTGCCTGCAAAAGCAATAAGCCGTGTGCATGCCAAGCCTATACCTGTAACTGGTGTGGCAACGCAAGCCAAAACAAATTACACAAACACTTGTGCATACACACATACACGTTTCCATTCTCTCAACACTGCGTGTAAAGTCGGTATGCGTACAGGTGTGTGCATTACAACAACAACCGCCATTCGCCACTAAGTGGCGATGACGTCACCACGACGCTTGTGCCAGGCTATGTGCGCGTTGAGGCCACGTGAGGTGTCGAACGCCCGCTGGCAGGAGGTCACGGGGCAGACCCAGGTACCACAGGTCGACTGACTGAGATGACCGCGATGACTGGCTGATGCACCACCTGTGCCCCCTACTGTGCCAACTTGCTGTGCTTTAGCCACCCGGCGCTCCGCTCGTTGTTGTGAGCGTCGCTCCTCCCCCCTCCGTTGTTGTTGGAGGGCGACTGCCTCTATGATACCCGGCGCCAAACTGTGCCACACGCCCTCACGCATGGCCTTGTGGGAGCCTCGATATCGATAAAGTTATTTTATTTTACTTTTTCTTATAATTTCATTCTGTTGACGTGCACGTACGTCATCGGAATGGGAAAGGGTTAATTCTAGGCACGTCTTGATTTTTTTCCAAAGCACCAAACTGTTTTGAAATAAATAGCAAATATTTGAACATTTTTGCACCGTTTGCGGTGTACATCGACGCTCTACGGACAGGCTGCCACTGCGCTCACTTGAGGCCCTTGCTGAAGGCAGTGGAGGTGAGGATGCTGCTGCGAGCCAGCTTGCTGCACGTGGACAGGTACTCCGAGTACATGTCCGTCCTCGAGATGGACGAGTCTGACGATGCCTCGAAGTGAGAATTCATCCTGCAATTCGACAGACACGCGCAAGGGGTAAATATACTCAGTCGGCTAGAATCTATAGTTGCATGATCTGCAGAAGCTATCATGGTACAATTTGTGTCAGTTGTAAATGACTGATGGGTAGCAGGAGAAATGCCTCAACTGAAGAACCGTACAATGTGCATACAGTAAAACCTTGGATTGCGAGCATAATTCAACTGTAGCTTCTCTTGTTTTTTAACAAATGAACCCGTACAATGTGTATACAGTAAAACCTTGGATTGCGAGCATAATTCAACTGTAGTTTCTCTTGTTTTTTAACAGAAGAACCGTACAATGTGTATACAGCAAGACCTTGCATTGCGAGCATAATTCGTTCCGGAAACGTGTTTGTAATCCAAAGCACTCGTATATCAGTTGTGATCACGTGACGCTCGGCAGACAAAGCGTATACTGTACGTACTACTCGTATTGCAAGACCTCGCTCGTTTATCAAATTAATATTTATTAAAAAATTTGGCTCGTCTTGCAAAACACTCGCAGACCAAGTTACTCACAATCCAAGGTTTTACTGTATTTATTATGAGCGTAACAATCATCTTTAATAGATTAATCATTATTCCGACTCCCAAAATTAAAATAGCAACCATTTGTACGCACGAATGAAACAATTCTCCTGCTACATTTGAACAACTCTTCAAAGGCTGTCAGTCACATTTGCTCCTTGATTCGTGGGTATGCCGTTTCCAATTCACTAATAAGTTGTTGCTCATTCAACCAAGTGGCTTGCCCAGCTTATTTTAAAACTCACCATTGACACGCAAAGGTCTCCCCGTCCACCTCGGCAGTCCCCAGAGCAGACGTGGACAATGAACCCCTGGAGGCTGAACACAAAAGTCACAAGCTTAGCTGCTGCACATTACACATGAATAAAGAAGCCCAACACTGAGTCTAATGTCAATGGAACACGCGATTGTCTGCTCAAAACATGCATCAATTGATATTTTATGCACTTGCTGGTTTGTCTGCCACCTGCTTGCTGGTCTCCTCTCTATGTGCATGCTGGTTATCTTTATACTGTCTCAACTCATTCTCTCAATGCTTATTTGTCAGTTGAATTGGCCTGTTATTTTCTCATCTTTATTTTAATCTTCTCCGCTTGCTCGTCCTTCTGTGCGAGCTTGCTAGACCAGCTTGCTTCAGTGTGGGGAGCGGCAATGCAGCGGTACGCGCGCAGCGCTACGAACCCGGCGACCCGAGTTCGATTCCCGCTCATGGCCACCATCATCACCAGTGACAATCATCTGAACCGATCCTGGCCCTTTCCCTAGGTCAACTCCGCCTCAAATGAGTACCTGTTGCGATGTGTAAACATCGCCACTGGGGAGATAAAGGCAGCCAGGTGGAGTACCGACCACCCACTCCCTCGTGTGGCACACGCTAATAACAGCACTTGCCCCAACAGGCCGTTAAGGCTATACGGGGGATATTTGCCTCATCTTTTCGAGATAAATCATTTGCATCATTGGCCTATCTATTGACCGCCGATCTATTGCCCATTCGGCTCACTTGCTGCTCTGCTCATTTCAGAATCACCAAAACATGTATTTATTACTAGAGGAATCCGATGAGCTACAAAGCTCTTTTTCACAGGTGTCCAGTAGGCGGGTGCGACGCAAGGGGCTGCCTGCTGCCGCTGCTGCGTACCACCGCTTGCGGGGGCGAGGTGAGCGTCGCCGCCACCAGCGGCGGCGGCGGAGGCGCCGCTGGTGCTGCGGCTGTCCGCCGGCACGTGCGTCGCTGGGGTGTGGTGCTCCACGATCTTGACGGCCGACAGGCACTCCGTGCCCATGGTCTGCACGTCTAGCGTAGCCAAGCTCACCAGGCACTCTGCGGGGATGGGGCAAACCGGCCGTCAAAGTCACACGCGCGCGCGCACGGGGCAACTGTGGGAGCAGTTACACCATCGAAGCACGCGTCGTCAAAACTAATGTTCTTTTTATTGCGACAACAAAGAGCAGCTATGGGGTTTGTTTGCGAATGCGTACGCGTGTATTGTTTATATTTCGCCAAATTTCATCGAGTTAGTCAGCGCGGGTTGGTCAAGGTAACCAGCATATGTAAGCCTGTTGAATTGATGTAGCCAACCGTGTTCATCGGAAGTGCATAGCACTACGGTACTACAATGGACTGTGCACTGCCGCCCTCTGCCGCTCACCACATAGACCCGCAACCCATAGCAAACTGCTATGCATGGTGGTCACCCAATCCAAGCACTATCCAGGCTCCACCCTGCACAGGACCGGAGATCCGATGAGATCGGGCCACATTCCACACGTAATTTGGTCACAGGAAAAATAATAACAGCAGCGGGTCCAACGGTTGGCTGCCTGGCAACGAGACGCATGGGTAGCAATGCTGGCGAGAAGTTAACTGCCTAGCCTGGTAGACAGAAAGCCGTGGGTTCGATCCAGACCCTGACACCTGCTGTATATTGGGAGTGTGCATTTCCAATCAACGTGCATTTAGAATATTTGGCTGCGATAAATGTCCACGTGATAAGCCACTTCACTGAGCTACGATTTGCGATCGCCAGGTTGCTTCTGAAAAAATATCTACATAGCTCAGTGGGCCCTTGACCTGGTAATAAGTATAACCCGTAAAAACAAAGTTTTTCACTATAAATCCTTTATATGCGTGGCGGCTAGAGTCATCTCGTCCTCTGGCTTGAGATGGCTGCCAGCTATGGGTCAGATGATTGCATTGCACCATTAAGCAATTGGTAATTAAATATTATATTTTTGTCCTAAAAAGTGTAACATTTTTGAAAAAAAATTTCACGAACATTCATTGTCACGCACAACGAGTCTGTGTGGGAAATGTCAGCTCGATTGGATCACGGGAAGTGGGTTAAAAAACGACCGAAAGATTTGCACGGTCCTAAGCAAGCAAGCGAACTTAATATAAAGGATAAAAAAAACATTTTCCGATTTAGTTCAAAGTTTCATTACCGATGCTGCGGTGCACGCGAGCGATCTTGCTGCAGGGGCCTTCGCCGATCTCCGACAGCTGGTACAGCACCTCCAGAGTGCCCAATACGAGCAGAACGTCCGGCAGCACCAGCAGCTGCACCATCTCGCAGTAGGCCTCCACCTCCACGCACTCGCCAACCACTTCGCCGTTCTCCTCCGCCATACAGAGGCTGCCCAAAATCTCCATGCCTGAAAGGCCAAAGGTGGGGGGCGCGTGCGCAAAGGTCACGCACGGGAAAACGCACCGCGCCAAAGGGTGAACGAGAACATGCACCGCACCGGTACAGACGCGTACAAGTGTAGACGGTCCGCCCTGTCACTCTTCTCCCGCCGCGAATCCGAACGAGCGGGACAGGTTGGCTAAAATGACAGACGATGAGTAGATACTCCACGTTGTGTTCTGTCCTCTGGAGAAGTGGACGACTCCACAACAGCTGAGCGCACCAGGGGTTTTTGGAACGGCTAAACTTTATTTCAAAGTGTTCTTCTGAAGGGCAATTGCGTATCTGCAAGTGACTAGAAACACCTTCCATGTCACAGCACCGCAGCTCAGTTCCTAAAACAGGATCCTGCGGGGTGGGCTGGTAGGAACGAATAACCAAAGAATATAAACATAATGTATTATTACACTTGTTTAGCCAGGAAAGCCCCACTGAGTCTAAAGGTTTTTCTAGGGTCCTGCCAAGTGTTTGCAGTAGGGGGCGATGTTGCTACACCGAATCGGACGATACTAAGGGAGAGTTTGAGGCCTAGTTCTAGGCTTTAGGCCTAGCTGTAGGCTTTAGGCCGCTGTGAGTAAATTTTTAATTTAAATGTTTTAATTATTTATGTAAAAGCTTTAAATGTAAATGTTTCTATTTAAAAACATCAGGGAATGTAACATTGTTAAACATTAACTCCCTTTCACACACGCGGGGGTACGATACGAAGGGAGAGTTTGAGGCCTAGTTCTAGGCTTTAGGCCTAGCTGTAGGCTTTAGGCTGCCGTGAGCTAATTTTTAATTTAAATGTTTTTATTATTTATGTAAAAGCTTTAAATTTAAATGTTTCTATTTAAAAGCATCAGGGAATGTAACATTGTTAAACATTAACTCCCTTGCACGACACGCCGGGGGTACGATACGAAGGGAGAGTTTGAGGCCTAGTTCTCGGCTTTAGGCCTAGCTGTAGGCTTTAGGACGCTGTGAGTTAAATTTTTATTTAAAAGATTTAATTAAAAGCTATCTCAGGGAATTATAAGGGAATGTTATACTTGTTTAGCCAGGAAAGCCTCATTAATTTAAATATTTTAATTAAAAGCTATCTGAGGGAATTATAAGGGAATGTTACACTTGTTTTGCCAGGAAAGCCTCACTGAGTCTAAAGGTTTTTGTAGGGTCATGCCAAGTGTTTGCAGTAGGGGGCGATGTTGCTACACGGACGGACGGACGGACAAACGGACGGACGATATAATCTATTGTAGGCTGGTCCACTTCGTTCCTACCAGTAAAAGACAAGATCCCCCGTATAGCCTTAGCAGACTGTTGGGGAAATTGCTGCTCGCAAGCACCGATAAAGGCTGGCACGGCACACGCCTGGCCGCCTTTGTCTCCCCAGTGGCAACTTTTGTACACACGGCACCAGGTACTCATTTGAGGCTGAGTCGACCTAGGAGAGGTCCAAGACCAGTTCAGGAAATCGTTACTTGGCGTTGGCCGTGAGCGGGAATTGAACTTGGGTCGCCAGCTTTGTAGCGCAGCGCACAAACCATTACACGACAGCTCCCCACAGACACGCTGCGCACACGCGTTACACATGTGGGGCACTGACTGCATAGGGAGAAAAATGCAAAGACGTACGCACAGACGTTGGGAAGCGCAACACATGGGGAGGTCACCATCATTAGCTTTACACCCATCACGTTCAATGCAATGGTTGCCATAATCAATTCTTAACGTTGTTTATTTTTCACCTGCCAGTGCAGAAAGGTGCAATTTTTTGTAGGGTCGGGATGGTAAACGCAACCACCGCACTTGCACATAATTTAAAAGTTAAACCCATAGGCAGACAACATTCAAACACCCCAGGAGGCGTATTAGACTTACAGGAGGGACACATGCGTTGAAACTTGCACAAACTATGATAACAAATCATCATCATCAAAGCCGATTACAAACCACAGCTGAATGAAGACCTCCCCACATAATGACCCAACTGTGAATGGTACCCTTAAGTTTTTGATTGCTGTGGTTTTCACACATGATGATGATTGCTTGTGATGCAATCGAAACGTCGTGAGAATTTCATTGTTTTATTTTCACTATTTTATTATTTCCCTTCTACGCGACTTCACCGAAAGAACCAAGAATATGGGTACCTCTTAGCTACATTATACTTCTCTCTCAGAAACACTGAAGACTCCCAATCACCCCGCCTCTCCCCTTCTCTTTTCAATTCTTTGGAACTGCTTGTTGTCCTCCCCGCTCCACCGCCGCACCTCCGATTAGCGCGGTCGGCTACGTACGGTGCCAAAGAAGTTCAAAGTACAGTACAACTTTGGATTGCGAGCATAATTCGTTCTGGAAACGTGTTTGTAATCCAAAGCACTCGTATATCAGTTGTGATCACGTGACGCTCGGCAGACAAAGCGTATACACGTGCTACTCGTATTGCAAGACCTCGCTCGTTAATTAAATTTATATTTATTTTAAAAAATTGCTCGTCTTGCAAAACACTCGCAGACCAAGGCACTCGCAATCCAAGGTTTTACTGTACATGGCGCACACTCGCACCTTATTTTGGCCACCATTCCTTTCCTAGTCTTGTCTATCGGCTGTCATCACCTTCAGTGACGTGCACTGCCTAAGGGCTTTTGTTTTGTCTTCACGGAATTATTAATAAGTGCGACGAGTCTGCACAGGCTGTATAAATAGCCGTTAACGCTGTGAGTCATGTGCGGGCAGAAATAAATGCCAAGGGCAGGTGAAATACTGAAGGTGGGGATATTCGTTTAACTGACAAAGGAGGTATCCTACCTATGTGGAGAATAGCTGACCTCATAATTAAATGTTTAACAATGGAGCGGTTTATTAATATTGAGTATTGCACTCACGATACACACATCATATTGCGCGTGCAAGAACTGATGTTGTTTTTTTATCATCTATCTTGTATGTGATGGATTTACCATGCCCCTTGCAGCCACTAGTGACCACTACACCCACCACAATGTTTAAAACATTTAATAAAATTACTGCCTTCATCTTCATCCTGAATGGTGATAATTGATCGGATCCCTTCACACGGGAAGGGGGGTGAATTTCTAACCCTCGAGTTAAATTATATTTCATTACATAATAATTGTACACACTGTATTGCTTTGTATTACATTAAGGAGTGTACCGATGCTATCCCAAAGCATTTGAATTATCTCGCTAAACTTTTCACACAAGAACCAACACCAACAAACAACAGTGCAAACTTTAATTCCCTACCTTGTAACATCTCTACGTATTTGTTTCCCTCAATTTAAAAGATACCGTCTGAATACACAACCTTGCGCTAAAAAGTATTCGCTAAGAATAAACCTCGCATTGACTAGCCTTTCCATTACATCCAAGTATTTGTCCAGACCAAAAAAAGTACACGCACACTGCTTAGGAATTGCATGTATGTAAGTTGAACTTTTTGCACCGTACGTATCCAACCGTGAAAATTGAAGGTGCGCGGTGGGGGGTAAGAACAACAATAAATGCAAAAAGCAGTTATAAAGAAATTAGTTAAAATGGGTGGGTGTATCACACAATTAACTACCAAAGCTGACGGGCATAAGTTTCCATATGCCGTAACTTTTGCACTAAACGGACCCACATTAAAGCGCACTCTGTTCCATACTTTAACTCTAATACTTGCCTTCCGTGCAATATTTTCACCATAACAATATTACCATTAAAAACTACGAAGTAACAGGTATAACCCTCGATGTAACCTGTATCCCAGTGTTATAATCATGCACTGACCTGAAATCTAAATTTTGTACTAAAACTAGTTTGGTGACAAAACACTATTCACAGCCTAAACTATAAGATGCGTTTAGTCCATAACACAATTCCTATCCCTTATATGTGACCTAAACTCTAACCAACAACAACACCGAATATAATTTCCATTTAATGTTCGAGCACTGAAACGGATGTGCAACGAATTAAAAGTGCGATAAAATTAACATGGGACAAAATGGAAGTGACAAGATTGATTGTCGAGCAAATGAACCACTGCACCAATTAAAGAATGTGCAACAAAGTTCAACATTTGTCAAAATGAGCCCACCATGAAATGAGTTAGAGCAATTGAACGTGACAGGAAATGAAAACATGACATTATAAAAGCGAAATTAACCGAATTTGCAATTAACAGGATGTGCAGCACAGAATCACACACAAATGCATGGTGGGCGCTCAGAAGCATAGAGAAAGAAAAACTAAAATTTTTTAAAATGTAAAATTAATTAAGAAATTATTTAAGGGTGCCTGTATGCACGTGCAAAATAATGACATGGTTGACAGGGTAAAGCACTAACGATTGTACTTAAGGCATGAGCTAATTACTGCGGTAGTCAGATGGCTCTAAAGACCGAAGCGTAGGGTTGGCACTGCCGAGATTCTTAGAATGGGTAAAGGTTGGGGCTGTCCGTAGAAGGTCACGTCTGTTATTGTTTTACACGTGACAGTTTTATCACTGTCAATGATTCCATCATCGCTATCGCTAGTGCCGTCACACCCTCCGGTATAGTCTTATCATCTCAAGCGACACTAACATTTATCATTGGTGCAAATATCAATACACACAAAACAGACGGTGTCATTATCGCTCGCCACGAAATAATAATTGGTTTAAAAATTATTACTGTTCGTCCGATCGTTATCATAATCGTTAGACACATCAACATCCCGTTAATTATTGACTTCATGGATGGAATGACATTGGAGTTGAGCAAATTAGGCAAGTCTCTCACTGCCCACCTCCATCAAAAGGAAATCGGTCATCAGCACCGAGCCGGCTCGCTTGATCCCGAGCCAAGCCTGAGCAGAGGTGCGAATGAGAATACGGGGGGGAGGGGGGGCGGGGGGCCCTAATTCTCACCTCGTATCCTCTGGAATTTGTCAGTTGAGGTGAGACACTTGGTGATGGTATGGAAGATAAGTTGGGTACTCCTGAAGTCAATGGGATCCAGTTGCAACTGAGGAAACACCACCAGACAGCGTAAACATATACCGCAAGCAATACGGCAAGCACACAGCATGGAAATATTGGCCCCTCTCTCCCGATACTTTCCATTCATTGGCTACCACATTCTGACGAGCCCCCCCCCTCTCAACTCGCTTTTAAGGGATTACATCTTGAATCATTGCCTCACTTGATGCGGCTAATCTGGCTGTGACTGTCCCACCTGATGACGGAGACTTGTGTTGCCTCCGAAACGTCGTGATCTTTATTTTATTTTATTATTTTATTAATTTTGATGTTTTACCTACGTGACTTTACCGAAAACACCTAAGAATATAAATATTGGCTGATCGCAATTTACACTTCGGTGCCCTGAAAACTCGAAAGGAAACTTAATTAACACGTTCTGAATCTACACTTTGGACGCAACCGTCCCTCCCTCTCCTCCAGCCAGCCAGCAAAACTTTTTTTAAATAATACAGCGAAAGCACCTGCTGTTGACAGTCCTCCGCTACCCCCAACACCCCCATCACCCCATCTTCCCACCCCTGTGTGTGCCTCCCTCTCACACAAGACAATCCCCAGGGACCTTGGCTGGGACCTTGCCCCCCCCCCCCCCCTCAGTCACAACCCCCACCCTGTACGTGGAAAGAGTGAAGAGAACGCGGTGGTAGGATCGATACCTCCGAGGCGATGTTCCCCAGCGTGTCCAGCCCCATCTGCCGCAGGCTGGAGAACTTGCAGTGCGCGCACATGATGAGGAAGCGGAGGCAGGCGCGGTGCGACGCCATGAGCTTCGCGTTGGACTCGAGGAACGAGAGATTGCGCAGGATCACGGAGATCTGCAGCACGCGCTGGCACTCGGGGTCGTCCACGCCTGCACTGCGGCCCGTGCTCAGCAGCCACTCGCCCCACGGACGCTGCTCCGTGCGGCCTTGGTACAGCCATCGGAGGAGAGGTCGGACGACCAAGCGCAGAAGGGCAGTGGTGGTGGAGGAGAGGGAGGGGCGGAGAGAAGTTAATCGACTCGTAACTAGATTTATTTTACCAGCTATGGAGCTCTCTTTAAGAAGTTTCAAGTTTCATTTATTAGGTATAGCCCTGTGAGCCATTCGGCTCTTGAATCGGGTGCAACCGCAACAAACAAACAAAAACATGAACAAGAAAACATCTTAAAGTGACTATGTGCAAACAGAAAATCCAAGAAAAGACAGCAAAATATTGCAGAAAAAGCACCGTACACCAACACTGTGTGCAAAAATCCCAGTGGGATGCAAGTCAAACAACCACAAGATATTAAGAAGCAACCTGACCATGAATGATAGCTCAACAAAGTGGCTTATCGCGGGGAAATTTATAGCAGCTAAAATACTCTAAACGCATGTTTCTAAATGTGGAGGACAAAAACCGGAGGACCCGGAGAAAAATCCACGTGACCACAGGGACCACATGCAAACTTCAAATGTGTCAGGGTTGGGATCGAACCCAAGACCTCCTGTATACCAGGCGAGGTAGTTAATATCTTGCCACAGAGGAACCCCAATTAAATTAAATAAGACTTGTGAAATGAAATTATCATTAGAATGATGTTAGGTGATGTTAAAACCGTCGTGCTTTGCAAATCGCGATTTGCATTGAAGACACAATTCTATTTTGGTATCGTTTGTATTGACTGCCTCTGTTCTGCCTTGTTTGTAAAGTCTCATTAGCGTTTGGGGAAAAAATATCCGTAATTAGTAGTGCGGTTGTATCAACCGTAAGTATATATGTAGTCTGCTTCATTGCTTTCATGGCTTTATTTTGGTGATTTCGAAAAATGTGTTGGTTTGTCCATGTTTGTTTGTTGTAGTACAGAGTTAGACTGATGGCCTTAATCTAAGTTGTCTTGTGGTTGTTGTTGTTTGACTTGCATCCCACTGGGATTTTTGCACACAGCGTTGGTGTACGGTGTCTTTTCTGCAATATTTTGCTGTCTTTTCTTGGATTTTCTGTTTGCACTCAGTCACATATTCACTTTAAGATGTTTTTTGTTCATGTTTTTGTTTTTTGTTTGTTGCGGTTGCACCCCATTCAAGAGCCGAATGGCTCACAGGGCTATACCTAATAAATGAACTTGAACTTGAGAGGACATTAAAAGATGCTGTGACATCTTTCACAAGAGAAAGTCATCGTGTGCCGACTTTACGGTCCAAATTTGACAATTGCAACGCGTATTACTTCATAGCTCTATTGGAACAAACGTAAGCAATCATCACCCCCAACGTGCAAAGGCTTGTTTGGGACCCTCATGAAAAATAATCATGAGATAGAACAAGGCTTACGTGGGTAAGCAAGCGTAATGAAAATAATAATATAAAAATGTGCATGAATTGCATATGTTAAGTTCTTACATGCACCATATGAGGTGTGTACAATGAACACGATAATTTGTTTTTAGCAATGAATCGCAACATGTCAGGTCCGCTGCACATTTGATGAGGAACTTCCACAAAAAGTGTTCACCGCGTATTATGCATTTTAAATGTCCAGCTGCAGGGAAATTTAGGTTTTATAATTTTGCTAGTTTTAGCTTTGTATATTACTGTTATTCAAATGCCGTACCTGATAAAGTCCAATAGTTAACCTAAGTTTCAGTTAAAAGTCCGATATATATTTCGCTTAATTTTTTATGACGACTGATATGAATTGTAGAAGACTTGCTTTCATGCAACATCAGGTTCCAAATTGAGTGCAGTATATGAAAACGTTAATAATTCCATCAAATCATATTTATTAAAACTATTTTTCTGTTTTAAGTCTTTAAAGTTTAACTTTCATTTAAATATCTGTTGCTGTTCAGTTTTAGTCAATACATTATTAGTTTGAAGTGACCAGTAATATTAATTTCTGTAAACATTTCACCTTTATTTTTGTCGCAGATGAGTTCTCGCACCTCCAAGTCATCAATCGACTGCTTCCAGAACTACAAACAGCCGGGAACAAACATCAAATCACCGTGAGAATTACTTTAAAAGGATCCCAAGAGTACTTATGTTATCTGCATCTCAGGTACTGATTACTAAACAATGGCACAAATCAGGGCCTTAGCCGCTGATGTCAAAAGTCAAATTTTCGTAGGCAATCATTGACACCACTTCTGACGAAATACTTGGAACCCCACCTGCTCTCAAAAACTAAAAAAAAAATACACGTGTGAGAATCGTGTTCATGGCCACCGTAAGGAAAAACCCCAACAAGAATAAAAAAAATTTTATTACGTAACAAATGTGAAACAGAATGCCGAATTGCATCCAAACATAACTGTAGCCAAACAGAAATAGCAAGTCCCATACATGTTTTATAAGATACAGATCTTCTGAGTGGCTCGTGGAGATGAAAGCAAATGTCAGGGGAATTAATGAGTGCTGTTTAAATAGTGGATCAAGACAGCCACCCGGGATGAAACCGTGATTTTTGTGAGAAGTGAGTGTTTGGTTTTAAAATGGTCTCAAACCCAGTCGCTACAAAAAAAATGTACAGTAATCCCTCGCCACTTCGTGGTTCAAGTTTCGCGGCCTCAGTGCATCGCGGATTTTTCGAACTGATTTAAAGGCCTCATTATACCTGTGCAGTAACACCATCATCATCATCCATCATCACATTCATCGAACTGCACAGGACTGTCATCGTCGTCATTGTCATTGTCATCGTCATTGTCATCGTCGTCGTCGTCATTACTGGAGTCAAGTCTCAAGATACTACTGTCATTGGTGAGTGTAGAACACCATAATACGTATCGTATGAGAGAGAGAGAGAGTGAATGTATAATATTAAGGTTTTATAATTAAATAGATTTAAGTAAAATATATATATAAAGTATAAATATCAATATTTTAAACATTCTGGTACCCGCACACACATATACGGAAATTCCTAGGGGGCCAATCCTACTTCGCGGATTTTCACCTATCGCGAGGGGTTCCGGTCCCCATTAATCCGCGATAAACGAGGGATCACTGTATATTTGGTTTTCATTTTTAACAAGCGTTAAAGTAATTTACATGAAGTTCACTCTTACCTTAATGAAGTCCCGTCCAGACTTTGCCCTCCACTCCGAGTCATAGACGTTGAACAAGCTGCCTGGACCTGTAAGACAGGACGTAGGACTTGGCATTCGAGTCTCATGCAGACACATTTAACACCATAGCTACGTGCAATTATGGTTCAATTTGTAAAAGGTGCAGATTGATAACTCGTGAGTTATAAATAACTTCCCGAGTTATAAATCCGCGCAATTGCTGTTTATTGCTCATTTAAGAGACCGAATATTAAATTACTGCCACGAAAACATCTGAATAACACTCAACACACCGGGTCTTATCGGCTATCAGAAGCTAAGCAGGGTGATTAAGCAGGTTGACTACTTGAATGGGTGACCACCAGTCCATCACAGGCTGCAAAGGTGGACAGGAGATAGGCTCAGTCCACACACGATTTAAAGGATTGGGGACCCATCTGTACACTGAGAACATTTTTTAAGGGATTGAATTGTTATACAATCACATCTGTGACATTTCTCCAGGTACAATAGTTGACTTCTGCATGAAGCCAACACTCAGAAATGAAATTGGCCAAATATACCAATCTTTGCTGAACAAGTGTCTTGGTATCGATTTAAAGCTTTCGTGACTGCAGCAGGGATTCATCTTCTTGGTTCTTTCGGTAAAGTCATGTAGAATGGAAATAATAAAATAATAAAAATAATACATAAAATAATTCTCAAAACGTTTCGGCCACAACGCAAGCAGCCGTCCTCAGGTGAAGAACAGGTCTGTCTGAAAGACAGCGTCTTTGTTCTTCACCTGAGGACGGCTGCTAGCGTTGTGGCCGAAACGTCGTGAGAATTATTTTATTCTGTTTTATTTGTATTATTTTATTATTTCCCTTCTACGTGACTTTACCGAAAGAACCAAGAAGAAGTGTCTTGGTACTGAGGAAGGCTTTCCTGGGTAAATAATATAAAGCATGGCTTTATAAATAATATAAAGCATGGCTTTATATTATTATGTACAAGGTGAGGCATACACGTTACTTTCCTCGAGAGACAGAAACATTATCTTCCATCATAAAAATACACAAAAAAACTTCACAGCCATTCGGCAGAAGCAACTCTGGCTAGGTTCACACAAGATTTGACACCGACATTTACTGAATGAGGTCATGTGCCTTACGTTACGTAAAATATGCTCGCACCCCCCCCCCCCCCCCCCCACAGTGGAAGTTCTTAAAGTTTGGCTACATGGTGTTCATAGTTTGGGCTTAGTTTAGGCTTAAATTCGGCCCAAATTATGAGCTTTTATAGAGGTACAATTTAATATTTCGGTTTTCATTGATAATATCAAATTATCATAGTTATCATTACTACATCAATAGCCCTCACTATGTTTTACCAATTTCAGTCATAATAAATTACAACTTTTGAATGTACGACTAGGCCCAGGCCTCCTAGCACCGCCCCCCTACCCCCTCCACCAAAAAATTATCAAATTAACTTGAGAGTTTGACACCAATCATTTGTAATTTTCTAGAGACCTTGCAATCAGGCCCTGCATTGTCGTGCAGCTACGCAAATGCACTCTCTTCTGTTAATCGCTTGTCGCTTTCCACACGCGAAAGTTCATCAGTGGTGGCTGATTGCAAATGTTTAAAGCCCTTAGCTCCATTCCCTTTGCACTACCCCAACACCGATTGGCTATCGCTGCGTGTACCAATCAGCAGTGGTCAACATTGCGAACTCTGCGGCACATTAACATTGGGCACACAGGTGGCGAGATGTTAGCTCCCTCGCCTGGTATACAGGAGGTTGTGAGTTCGATCCAGACCCTGACCCCTGTATATTTGGAGTTTGCATGTTATACTCTCTCCCCGTGGTCGCAGATTTTTCTCTGGGTCCTCCGGTTTTCCCCTCCACATTTAGAATCCACATGCGTTTACAGTTTTTGGCTGCTATACATTTCCACGTGATAAGCCGCATCGTTGAGCAATCACTTGTGGCCAGGTCACTTCTGAAAAAGCACTACATAGCTCACTCAGTGGGCCTTACCTGGTAACATAAAATGTATGGGGGCACCGGGCGGGTAAGGAGGCACCAGGTAAGGAAGGGGGCACCGGGCGGTCTTCCCGTACTCACTGTCGTCGAAGACGCCGGCATGCGCAAGCAGCAGCGCCACGAGGCGGGGGTCGCGATCCAAGTGCATGGCACGCCGGCCCTCGTGCGACAGCAGGGTGCACACGTTGACCGCAAAGTCCACCTCGTTGGGCAGGCCCGAAAGGAGCGAGAGTGCCAGCTTGCGGTACTCGCTCGCCGGCAGCAGCTCCGTCGACAGCCCGTTCCCTTGCCTCATGTGGTCTGCGGAAAGCAACCAACCACACGTCGCTCAGCACAAAGCGGCAACGCGGCTGCACTGGTTTCCAAAATGACAATTTGACCACAGTTCTCACCGTCACCTCCTCTCTTGTCGACGCACAGCGACGCCAGGCGTTATTGACGCCACCTCATAAACAAAGCACCGTGAACATCACTTCGCAGTGAGCAATGGGTCGTTCTCGTACTCCGAATGACACGACGAAAATTCGGGGCACGCCAATGGGTTCTGGGTCTATACAAGCCTGTTGATGGAGGGGAATTTCAGATTGATGATTACTACAATCGCCTTGCTTTAGTTGAATATGTCAGGCTGGTGCACCATAAATTGTAGCCTTATTCGTAGTCATATTCATATTGTATCCATATTCCCAGCCTCCCTGACATGCATTTTATAAGTCAGGAGAAGTTACAGCATGGCTGCGTGTACAAGTGAAGTGGAAGAACACATGTGCGTATGTAAAAATAACTATACTTTCTTTCATTACTCACATGCAAAAATATATTTGTACTATTTCATGCATATCTGCAACAAGTAAAAAATGTTTGTTGAAATCTCAATCATTTGATAAACAAATTGAACAAGCTTCTGGATTTGAAGCGTTCGTGACTGCCAGGAATCATACTATTTGTTTTTTTCGATACCTACGTGACTTTACCGAAAAAACCAAAGAGTATAAATTGAACAAGCATTGAAGCATGAAAAATAAGAATAGCTTTTACCCTTTCTGGCAATAAAACAGGTGTTAAGACGTTCAAATGCCAAATAGAAACCTACTGCAAGAAATCAAGTGGTAAAACCTAATATTATTTTTCATACTTTGATACTGGAAAAAAGGTCCCATTGTGTTTGTGCTGTTCGCAGTTTGGTCTTCTCTGGTCCAACACTGTTGAGACTCGGCCCTTGCCTTCCCCCCCTTCTTACCGATAAAACCTCTTGCCATGGCGCCTCTCTAATCTACTTCAGCATTTTCTTGCTGTGGTTGTTCCACCGGATGAAGATCGCTCGTGTTGCGATCGAAACCGTCGTGATTTGTTCTATTTGATTTCTACCTACGTGACTTTACCGAAAGAACCAAAGAGTATGGATTCCTGCAGTCACGAAAGCTTCAGATCAAGATAAAGAAGGCTGTCTCTGGTGTAGGCCAATCAGTTTGAGAGACAATGCAAAAATTATCAAAGCTTCGATTTAAAGCTTTCGTGACTGCAGGGATTCATCTTCTTGGTTCTTTCGGTAAAGTCACGTAGAAGGGAAATAATAAATAATAAAAAGAAAACATAATAAAATAAAATTATCACGACGTATCAAGCTTCTTTGTTTGCATGTTCACCACAAGTACGTGTCGTTAATGCAGACTTGATTCCTTGCAAAGTAATCTATTTGGCGTTTGCACATCTTAAAGGGTAAAACCAATTCTTATTTTTCATACTTTGATACTGGGAAAAAAGGTTCCATGATAAAACATTGAATTGTTATAATTCAAATTTGTAGTTCAAATTTTCTCCGGCTTTTTCTTAATATTACAAGCAATAATGTTGCATGTCACTCAAAACAGTTGGCAGCAGGAAGCAAGTTTCACAGCTGCACGTTGATAAATTTGTGCATATTTCCTTAAAAACATCATTATAAAAAGACAGGCAGCACTCACACTAATCCCTTGGGCTATATACACAAGACACTTTCTGCACGTTAGCAGCACATTTACTCATTAAGCCATGTTGTTTATTTGCAACCTGGAATTCGTTTCATTGACGAACGCCCAGTAAAGGTTAAACAAATGGAAAGCGCTTCATTATATTCTTAGGTTTTTTTCGGTAAAGTCACGTAGGTAAAAAACATAAAAAAGTAAAATAAAATAAAAAATAAAAATCACGACGTTTCGGAGGCAACACAAGCTTCCGTCTTCAGGTGGTACCGTCACAGCCACGACAGCTGTATCAAGTAAATGAGAGATTGCAGGAGCTACCACTCCGTTTAAATAATGGTTGGAGAAGATGGTGGGGCAAGGGCCGCATACTTTTTTATTATAGTCAGAACCCGGCTGGCCTTTTGTCCCAGCAGAGAGCTCTCATTGGCATCACGCAGCGCTCTGGAGATTGCATTGGGCATTGCGAAGTCGTGTCAAACCGATTAAAATGTGGCTATTCCAAAGGTCAAAAGGATGACACGGAAGCGTTTGACTTGCAGTTTTAACCCCGTCAATCATCGGTTACCCATTTCTTGAATGGTTTAATGTGGCAGTTTCCACTCTGTGGCTTGCGTGCCACCTCAACGTATTTCAGAGGGAGCGATTTCGGAGGGAGCGAGCGTAGGCTGCGGCACGGACACAATGCACGATGACTAATTAAGGGGCTCATACGCCTTATTTGGGCGAATGGTGTAGCACTGCAGTAGTACATCCTACACCTGATCAACATTGAGCCGTATACGGAGCTTATCAGAGCGAGATCGCCAACACGTTTAGTTCTGTATGTTACCAGTGTCACCACTACTGTATGGCGGTACTTTAATATCGTTATAGACTTTTGAATAACACCCTTTAAACAGCTGACGCTTTAAGTTTTAACCTACCGTTACTAGGCTCTTTCCCAAAACTGACTTCAGAGAACTGCTCACAGAGAGGTAACCCTCCTTCCAAACAATGCTTTGGCATTTTCTTTGAAGCTAGGATAGTACACATTTATTTTACAATAATAAAAAATACATGGAAGATTGGGCTGGACACATCCCTAGATGGGATAATGGCTCGTGTGAAAGACTAATGGCAGACTGGCAGCCAAAAGAAGGAACGTGCAACAAAATAATTTCCACCGTTGCCACAGTTGAATCATTACGAAGTGGTGGCGGACATCACCATGGTGCTTGTGCCAGGCTGTATGCACTTTAAGGCCACGTGAAGTGTGCAAAGCCCAATGGCAGGAGAACACGGGGACAGACCCAGGTACCATGGGTTGACTAACTGAGATGACTGGCCAATGCACCACCTGTGCCCCTACTGTGCCAACCATTTACAACTAAAGCACGTAAAAAATATCAAACTTCTTTAACACGTACCCCTTTTCACATACAGCCCATTCATGTCAGAACAATATAGACCACAGCAAACTGGTACCAACATGAAGTTAACATTCTCCGCAAAACTAACCCCTGCTAATCTAGATTTGAAGTTTTCGTGACTGCAGGAATCCATACTCTTTGGTTCTTTCGGTAAAGTCACGTAGGTAGAAAATAAATTAAATCACGACGTTTCGGGCGCAACACAAGTGCCTGTCATCAGGTGGAAACAACCACAGCAATAAACAATTGCTGAAGTGGGCAAAAATTATTTTATACCTACGTGACTTTACCGAAAGAATCAAAGAGTATAAGTCCTAGTCTTGGTTCTTTGGAATTATTATTTTATTATTTCCCTTCTACGTGACTTTACCGAAAGAACCAAGAAAATGAATCCCTGCAGTCACGAAAGCTTTAAATCAAAGTATAACCCCTGTAAACCGTTCCCCTTTACCTCTCCTCTCTTATTCTAATCCCCTCCGATGCAGCCACCAAGGTAGTCCGTTAAAACCCCCGGTTAACCATCACTCAAATGACGCACCACTCCGTTTCTGCTGCTGTCCGACTTGTCTGCAATTTCTGTCCCTCGACTTTCCATAATTTTGAGATATTTTCCACGTTCAAGTACAGCGCTCAACAACTTCGTCGAGGTCTCTCCGATGGAGTCTTTCCACAAATTGTTTCAACTCACATCTTTTACCATCCTGTCTACTTTTTTGCCCAGATTATCTTGAAGTGCGTGCCCCTCTTACCGACAAAACTCGCACAGCGTTTTCAACGTGATCGCATTTGGACACTATTATTAGTCCAAACACATTATTTTGCATTGCCTGTTAAAGATTTGCAAAAATAAATTGGCAATTATTTTTTTTGCAAGTGACAACATAACAAAGTAACGGTAAAAAAAAACTGCAAGAAATCCATCAAAACTATAAATAAAACCTGAAGAGAAATTTAGCAAAACAAACGCGGCCCGTAGTCTCGTTCCAACACGGTGTATTTTTTTTTAAAAGCATTCACAACTCTGTGGACGGCTCTCACCGGGAACATTGTGCTGCTGGTAATTGTATGTGTAGGAGATGCCGCCCACGGGAGTTTGCGGCCGCGAGCTTCCCTGGAATTCATCGTCTTCCTCCCCAAAGTGGTGGACCTTTTCGTACGTCTCCAAGTACCTGAAATAAAAAAGAAAACGGAAGTCTGCATTGTGCAATTATGATTTGAAGTGCAACAATTTTTTTTACCTGGTTGGCTTCGATTCCTCTTTACTTGTTTTATGGGATGGGTGGGGGAAGAAGGAAAAAACAACAAACTGCAAGAAAATACTTTGAGAGTGCAAAGGATTATTGATGAGCAGGGGATTCGTTCATTCATTCATTCACGGTTGTTTTCACCTCCACCATAGAAAAATAAACAGTCCGGATATACATCCCCAAAGCACAATACATAATGCTGGTAGGAACCTCTGGTTACACCAGCCCACAGAGGATTATTGTGTCCGTCCATCGTGCAGGGAGGGTGGGGAGGGGCTGGGTGGGGAGGGGAGGGTGGGGAGGGGCTGGGTGGGGAGGGTAGGGAGCGGCTGGGTGGGGAGGGGCTGGTCACCCCGTGGTGCCCTTATAAAACTCAACGTTTAACCTACTCACGCCGGCTTGTGCCCGCCCTCACAGTCGATCATATTTGCGAAATACACCACGCCGCCGTTGACCCTGGCCATTGACCGAGCAACCCAACGTTCCTACCAGCTCCCTCCGCAGGAGGAATGTGTTTGTTTATTTGAACCAAGTGTCAGGGTCAAGTGCTCTGCACGAGCACCGAGGCCATGATGGTGCACACCGTGGATTAAGACCAACATCACGAGCATCAAATGTTATCACTCTAGTTCTGATGTCCATCTAGTGCCAAGGTCTTATTTCACCGCATCAAGTCTTTATTTTATGCTCCGTTTACCTAAGGGAGGGAGGCAAGAGGCAAGGTTCAGATTCCAATTTGTATTTTTTGTGCAATGATAGGAATCCGACCCAGGTCGGGTAGATCCCAGCTTCGTGCCAGAACGATTACTCCGCACACATTCGTAGGACACAAAGGCAGCAGAAGAGCATGGTAACAGGAAGGATCTAGTATTATAAATAACTTATATTCTACGAGCCAATTAGCACGGTTGGCTACGTACGGTGTGAACAGAAGTTCAGACAGTACACGTACGTACTGCCCATAGACTCACACTACCCAGACTCAACACTGCACACCTCCGATTAGCACTAAGCTACATACCAAAGTGCGAAAAAAGTTCAATACGCAGACATACGCTGAAATGGTTCACCAAATACACGGGTCTATCCCACCAGCCTTCTCTCTCAATGACCTGTTGCCTCAAGAGGTTTCTTACACAATAACGCCGGCAGCTACATTAATACACCGCCCACTTTTTTTTTTGCTCACATTTGCCGCTGCGATTTCTGTCCATGCCATGCATAGGTAGATGGGACGTTTGTTCGGCTAGGGTGAAGAAGGGTGTGGTGACACCGTACGGTACACTCCGAATACATCACATTATTTTCCTGCCCCAAAAATACCTATCCATTTGGTGTTTGAATATCCTAACGACTCCTGTTTTATTGCCAGAAAGGGTAAAACCTGTGCTTATTTCTCATACTTTGATACTGGAAAAAAATTAACCCGTAAAAACAAAGTTTTTTACTATAAATCCTTTATATGCGTGGCGGCTAGAGTCCTCTCGTCCTCTGGCTTGAGATGGCTGCCACCTATGGGTCAGATGATTGCCTGCCACCATTAAGCAATTGGTAATTAAATATTTTTTAAAAAATCCTAAAAAGTGTAAAAATGTGGGAAAAAAACATCACGAAAATTCATTGTCACGCACAACGAGTCTGTGTGCAAAATGTCAGCTCGATTGGATCACGGGAAGTGGGTTAAAAAACGACTGAAACATTTGCACGGTCGTAAGCGTGCAAGCAAGCAAGCGAACTTAATAAAAAGGATTTTAAAAAGGCCCCATGATAGCTGCTCACCCCGAGCTATCAATGCTCTGATACGTGCATTGTGTTTGTATTGTTCGCCTTTTGACGTTCTCTGGTCTGACAGTGGTGAGACTAGGCCCTAAAAAAGGCTGTCTCTGGTGTAGGCCAATCACTTTCAAAGACAATGCCCATATATTATCAGAGCGTGTTTGTTTGCATGTTCACCACAAGCACGTGTGATTAATGCAGACTTGATTCCTTGCAAAAGGTTTCCATTTGGCATTCGAACATCCTAACACCTCCTGTTTTATTTCCTGCAAGGGGTAAAACCTATTCTTAGTTTTCATAACACCTATCCATGCACTGATGAGGGCCACCCTGCTTGACTTATGATAGTCGACAAGGCCAGGCTGTAGGGTCGCAAGCACGCAAGCGTAGCTCAAATCTTAATGTAAAACAACCGGACAGTGCGTGGAATTTTAAACGGAAATTGGCAGTGATTGGACTTAAAAATTAATAACAAAAAAAACTACTTTCACCATATTCTCCAGATGAGGCACACTTTTCCCCTCTACTTTAAAGAAACATGTGGTAGGCATCTTACTTTTCCAAGTGACATATAACAGAGAATACGGAATTATTAAGGACACAGCTGTAAGCTGATCTTCTATAGAACAACTGCCCGCACAGGCACATTTCGCCTGGAACATGACCCCGTGACATCAGTGGGAAACAAAGAAAGGCGTATTTCTGTGAGGCGTGCACATGGCAACAGCTGTTTTAACACTGCCCTTCTGTCACGCTCAAAGCCAGAACGACTGCACTGTTGGTACATCGCTAGTTTCATGAATACAAAGCTGTGGAAATGGAATGGCTACAGTTTGACGGTTGTACTGAAAAGTGGTGTGTAATCTTTGCCGTTCGTACCCATTTGGGAGAAGTGAGCTGCACCTAATGAACATTCGCAGAGTACATCATAACCAGAGGGCGAGAGAAAGAGGTGGGTGAGTGGCCAAGAGTGGTCGAGGTGAGAAGGTCAAGAGCAGAGGTGAAAAGGTGAGAGAGTAAACTAAACTACGATGTAAAGCTTTCGTGACTGCAGGGATTCATCTTCTTGGTTCTTTCGGTAAAGTCACGTAGAAGGGAAGTAATAAAATAATAAAAATAAAACATAATAAAATAATTCTCACGATGTTTTGGCCACAACGCAAGCACCTGAGGACGGCTGCTTGCGTTGTGGCCGAAACGTCGTGAGAATTATTTTATGTTTTATTTTTATTATTTTATTACTTCCCTTCTATGTGACTTTACCGAAAGAACCAAGAAGATGAATCCCTGCAGTCACGAAAGCTTTAAATCGAAAGATATGTCAGCATTTGTCGCAAGCCCACTAGTGTATTCAAATCATTCGCGGTTTTGTTTAAAGAACAATCTAAATATTTGTTTTGGATATACCGCGTGAAGCCGTGACGGCTGCCACATTCTCCCGTGAGCAAAGGTAATTGTGGGATCGAAACAGAAACTAAAGAATCGAGGCAGCCATCCAGGCCAGCTTGGAACATTTTACCTGCTACTCTCGGTAACAGATCGCCTTAGTTTTGGTTGATTAACTGAATGGGAACAATCCTAAACGCGTTAAGCTCGGCTTCGGCAGCTAATGAGAACACATGGCTCTTAAGAGCACTGCGCCACGATGCCTTCTTGGGATTTCGTTTATTTTAAAATAATAATCATTACAACATCAATGTGCGTGTGCTCATGTTCTTGCACGCTCAGCATAGGATGTGTTGCGAGTGTGAAATGAAGCACACAATGCCATGACAGGTTCGGAACGGCCAGGTTAATTTGATTTTTCCCCTTCATTCCCATTTTTGTTCTGCACTTGTGTGGAAATATAAAAGAGATAAGACTTTTTTTTTATCCAATTAGCCTCAACAATGTAATTCAATTGCTAGACGCAGCTCAGTGTGTTTTTTTTTCTTCTTTATACATCTCATTTTTGGCGGAAAGCTTTGCCGGTAAGTGTTTTGTATACAAACACGTGACAAGACGGAGTGTGGCATGGCTCCAGAAAACGGCCATGGTAAAAGTTTCAGCCATCCAACTTCTGCATCGTGCCCCTGTCGCCAAAATGAACTCCACCCACAACAGCGGCTCCCGAAAGCTCCTCGAAAGGGGGGTATTTTATCCCACTCTTCTGCACTGGCCAGACATCTCAGAAGAGGTGAAAGGTGACCCCACATTTTACCCCCAACAGATATCAAATCGTCCAACCTATAAACCACAATGACAATGGGCCCCAAAGGAGCGACGGAGAAAACAATGTCAGCAGATGCAGCTGTGAGCTTTGGCAATCTGTTAAACATCTTCTTGGTTCTTTCGGTAAAGTCACGTAGAAAGAACCAACAAGATGAATCCCTGCAGTCACGAAAGCTTTAAATCGAAATCTGTTAAACGTATGCACCGGTGTGCAAATGTACCACGGAAGAAACAAGAACTGCACAGTTACTTTCATTTTCCACTATGAGCTCACCACTGTTCATCTGGATAAGAAAGCAGAGGCAGGGGAGGTGCGCTGAAAGCATAATTATGCAGGTAGACAGACCCTGGAAGCGTCACACACGCGTTCTCCGTTTGGCAATATAAACATTCAGAGTGAGTTCTGTTACAAGGCACCTATTAATGAGAAACGTGACACACAAGGTAATTGTGTGCATGTAAACAATTGTCGCCTCGGCAGCAAGTTCACTAACCAGAAGGTTATCCGGTTGTCCACTATTATCACATCTCACCACCATGGCACCCCCATGGTGGTGAGAAGTTAACTACCTCGCCTGGTTAAAGTAATAGGTTGTTACCCTTTTACCTGGCAACGAAACTGACACCTTTATACAAGGGATCATGTTTGCATTAACCACAACACTTGCGGTCAAAATGCAAACAAAAAGACAACTCTGATAATGTGTGCACTGTCCTTGAAATTGATTGGTCCACACCCGAGACAGCTTTTCTTATAGCCCAGTCTCACATGGTGTTGGACCAGATGACGCCAAAAGGCACACAACTCAAAGACAACGCACCATCAGAGTATTGAGAGCTCGGGGTAAGCATTTACATTATGAGACCTCCTTTGCGGGTACCAAGATGTAGTAATAGGTTTCTACCCTTTTACCTGGCAACGAAACTAACACCTT